CTAGTTGGTTTACAGTGGTTAACCATGTAAATTCTAGTGGGTTTACAGTGGTCAACCATATAAATTCTAGTGGGTTTACAGTGGTTAACCATATAAATTCTAGATGGTTTACAGTGGTTAACCATGTAAATTCTAGTGGGTTTACAGTGGTTAACCATATAAATTCTAGTGGGTTTACAGTGGTTAACCATATAAATTCTAGTGGGTTTACAGTGGTTAACCATGTAAATTCTAGTGGGTTTACAGTGGTTAACCATGTAAATTCTAGTGGGTTTACACTGGTTAACCATGTAAATTCTAGTGGGTTTACATTGGTTAACCATGTAAATTCTAGTGGGTTTACACTGGTTAACCATGTAAATTCTAGTGGGTTTACACTGGTTAACCATGTAAATTCTAGTGGGTTTACACTGGTTAACCATGGAAATTCTAGTGGGTTTATAGTCGTTAACCATGGAAATTCTAGTGGGTTTACACTGGTTAACCATGGAAATTCTAGTGGGTTTACAGTGGTTAACCATGTAAATTCTAGTGAGTTTATAGTTGTTAACCATGTAAATTTCAGTGGGCTTATAGTGGTTAACCATGTAAATTTTAGGGGGTTTACACTGGTTAACCATGTCAATTCTAGTGGGTTTACATTGGTTAACCATATCAATTCTAGTGTGTTTACATTGCTTAACCATGTAAATGGTGAGTTTACAGTGTAATTTGTTATTGGGTTACAGTGGTTAACAGTGTAATGTGTATTGTGTTTACAGTTTTGATTATAGCAGTGTACCACAGATTATGTTTTGGGTTTGTGGTCTGGTTTAAACAGGGTTGGGTTTACAGGGAGTTCAGTTTGTCAATTAGCCTAATTCTATTTAATGGTTAATCCTGATGTGAATGTTAATAATCAAATTACTGTATTATCTAATTATAAAATTAAACTGTAAATTAACAAATATCATAAACTAAGTCAATTCCATGAAATAAATGAGTGATTGCGTCTATATGGTTGCACTAATATATGTATAATGTTGTTCTAGTTGAAACAAAGAAAACTATATTTAAAAAAGGATGGAATGAGGATGCTTTAATATGGACCTTTGAAATATTTAATTAACAGCAGGCTGCATTTCCATAGTTACTTATTGCATAGTCGCCATAGTAACATCAGCAATGCATATAGGTGGTCCAATTGTCAAATGCAATCGCTTTACTTGTAAAATGATAATACAACCTATTTTTATGACAACTTGATTAGATACCGGTACATGATTTTAAATCATGGTATAAATCATTTCAATTTTATAAGTTATGAACATTTCCTAGCACTGAAAATTGTAGTGGGTTTTCTGAGGCACAGAGTTTCATTTAGGGGTTTGCATTTTGTTGTATATTACTTGTTAATCTGTGGTAGAATTATTCTTAATTTTTTGCTGTTGGCAGGTTGTCTGAGGATTCTGATGGTGACGACGAAGAAGATGATGATGATGATGATGAAGAAGATGGCTGTGATGATGACAGAGTAAATGAAATGGAGAGGGAGAAAGGAACATGGAAAAGCAGAAATATTGATGAGAAAACCAACAGGAAACATGTGAAATGGAAAGAACCTGAACAAGAATATAGCGACGAGGACAAAGAAGAGATACCAAAAAAAACTATATCATTTATTCATACAAGGATTTCGCCGTTATTCTCAATAGAGGAAAAGGTGTGTGTCCTTTAGCAAAACCACTTGTAATTTGTTGAATATTTATGCTTATTTTAATCTTTGTATCTTCTACAGTATTTGTTCTTAGAAGTGTGCACAACCAAAAATGTTTATTTTTTGTATACTGGATCATTAAATTATAACCTGCTATTTATGTAAGCACATGTAAAACTAATACCGGTAAAGATCCACTAGGTTTGCAGCAAAAACAATAATTTTATAAATAGGGGTTTTAGCAGAAATTCTGACAAGTTAGTCATGTAAACAACATAGACACTGATGTCAGTGTCTTCTCATTGATTTCAAAATAGAAGGGGGAAATTGTTAGGTAATTCTTTTGTTTTGTTTTGTTTTATTATATTGAAAATAAATGTGTTTACATTATCAGTGATGTTGAAAAATGTATTTTTCCCCAAAGTGCACAAAATGTTATTAAACTTGGTAAAAAATATGTGAAAGTCGCAGATACATGTAATCGTCGAAAAAATAAACATTTTTGAGAATTGTGCAATTGCATGTTCAGGATAAGATGCTGCTTTTTATGGTGCAATCCTAGAGGATGACAATTAAATTGTTTATATTTGATGCACATGCTTTTCTTATAACATATCGTATATATCACTGTGTGGTGTTGCACGTATTCACCAAATATAACCACATTATGAAAATGAAAGTTGCACATACTAACACCTGTCTACATGCATTCAATAGCAAATGGTTCTCTTCTGTCACTAGGATACCGATGATGAGGATCTAGAATCAGATTCTCCAAAAATAATGAGTCCTAGAGATATTTACAAATACTTTGGTCCGACTACGTCAGCGCTTACTAATGACATAGTTTTGAAAGACAGCGAGGAACCTTCACGATGTGTGTTGCCAGCTACAAATACCAAAAAGCCTGCCAAGTCGATACTTAAAACGAGTAAATCAAAGTCCATTGAAGTGATGGACACAACAAAGACTGACAGCAAACCATCAGTATCAACTCTATTACCTGTAAGTTTTGATGAATTTGACATATTTGATTGCCTAGTCCCTGATATCGAATGTCACTGTTTTTTTTATGTGTAAATAACAATTACTTATACCGTAGTATGTATATATGCAGCTCATGTTTGACTCGACATCGTATTTCGTGTTTTGGAGGATGGCAATTTATCCAGGCAAATAATAAGGCTAAACAATGTATTATATGTTTTTCATACATTGTATGGGGCACATTTTGTGCATGATGTGGCATTTTGACTTCAGTGTTTTTTAACCAAGCTGGCGGTTTCTCAAAACATGAAATTTTGTGTCAACGCATCAAGACAGTGAGGCAGCACATTGACTTTTGAGAAATGTTTTCCTCACTATTTCAATCAAATTATCAACATTATAGCTTTGAAAATAAAAATGTTCATATTTCACTTTATTTGTATTTCAGGCATTTTCAGGTGAAGTATTCGAAAGAGAAGCAGTTAAAGAAGCGACGCTCCCCATCCAACCAGTAATGCTTCCTGCAGCAAAGAGAATGTCTAGATTCAAAGCTGCAAGACAAAAAACTATATAGTACCTGCGTTTCTATGCACATGTGTTATTTTACCAAAAGTTATTTACAGTTTAGAAGTATGAAACTGATATTCCTCCTGATGCAATTGATGTTGTTTTGGTTTTCAAATTAGAATGCAGTGGAATGCAATTTCAAGAATTACAGTTTTTACAATCTGCATTATTTTGAATTAGAGGAATTTATTAAATTTTGTTGTACATGAAAAGTTAAGTTAAAAAGTCAACTTTGTATAATTTTTTCCAAATCACCCAGCATTATTTCTTTTTAGATTTGTAGCTAATAGGATATTGTATGTATTTGTTCTACATTAAAAAAATATGTAGGGAAAAGATTCACCAAAATGTTAATAACATGACCTAAATGAACAATGAAATGAATTAAAAATGTGGTTTATAGTATTTTGAATACAACAGATCTCGTTGCATTGGATTTTTTATCATGATGTATTTGGTGCAACAACTGTTGTGTTCAACTTCATCTACACCATTATATTTCTGTGTCCCAACGCATACTGCCTATGATAATTTTGCTACTCATACTTTGAATCTTTTTAAAAAAAATTGACAGCAATTTTATGTCAACTAACTTGTTTTTATAGAATTGTTCATAATGTTACAATAGTGCTAACACATTGCCTTCTGAAAGGCTCAACAGATAGACCCCCCCCCTTTTCAAATGGGTGACCCTTTTTAGGAGTGGCATTTAATACTGAAATATGGTACTGATTGTTTCATCTGCTTGAATTTACTTTTTTATTCAGACATGTATGCCACATTGTGTGTTTTTTAAGATGCAATAATGAATATGTGTAATTTTCAGTATTGTTGTTTGATACTGCCGGATTATATCAACAGATTCATTGGACTATGATGCATCATGAATTGAAAACGCTGTTCTTGTATCACATATCTGAGTACTCTAGAATACTTTATTTTAGCTAGAATTAATTTTCGCTGAAAAGACATTTCGTCATTTTAGTGTGTTCTGTATGGAATTTATTAGTCCCCGTTCGGACGAAGTCCGTCCATCCATTCGTCTGTGCGTCCGTCCGTCCGGAGTCATATCTCAGAATCCCTTGGACCGATTCCGTTCATTCTTTGCATGTGCCTAGTACTTTATGTGGGACATATGCACATGCAGTGGTTTAGCGATTCGATTCAAAATGGCCGACTGACAGCCATCTGGTTTTTTGAAAATGTTGTATTTTGGACATGCTTTGTCAGTTTTCATTCAAACTTGGTACATAGATTATA